GAGATGAAAATATGATACTAAATTGGATTATTTATTGCCATCCGGTATGGCTTGCTAAAGTGCAAAGCCATACCACATATACATCGGGGCAGACCATCCCACCGGCAAACCATGCTTAAGCCATTCGTATCTGACAAACTCTAACGCCGCCTCATCGTCCTCCGGGTGTTTCATATCCGGCCAGTATTGAAGCATCTCGTTCTTGTACTTAGCAAACATCTAATATACATATATCTTGTTAGAATAGAAATATTTATATATAAAAGCATTTTAATAATTGTTTGTATTAATATACTAGCTAGGAATGCACTTACGCATTTGGTGCCTAAGCTATATTTATTTTGATTTCAATTTTATTAACAAACTCTAAATGATAGGTTGATTTAATGATATTTTCGTGATTATAGTTGACACATTGTAAAGAAAGATCTATTTTGGGGGCAAATACATGCAGGGATGCTTGGGATGAACTCGAAATGTAGTTACTGTAAAAATATTTTGTGGCAACTTGTTGAAGTGTAAGTTGGTAGTTTCACTAGTTTGTAGTAACTTCTAGTAGATTTGTATACAAAAGCTAATGCAATAGTAGCTAATTCAAATGATTGTATACTTGAAGATCATTTCTATGTGAATGCTATTTAGCTCCTGAGCTCACATTTTGAAATAGTGAGATGAAATTACACAGAAGCTTGTGATATTTCTAACAAACCATTTCCATTGTTTCACATTAAATAAAAAGAAAAACATTAGACATGGATTGCTACTATCTTAATGGTGGAAATGCAATTGCATAAGCTATTTCTTTGAAAATCAAACAGATCAATTGTAGAACATAAAAGACTCCTTACAGAAATAGTCACAATCATTAATTATATAGAACTTTACAAATTGAAATGTATATATCATGTGGGGATAGTTCATATCTTGAATGTAGCTTCCCATTAAAAATTACAACTGCTCTGCATTAATTTATTTATGTAAACGATTTAAAGATAGACAAATAGGATATTTCAATTTTTTTGCAACATTATTATCATTAACATGTGCATCATATATGTACACGTTATTCCTGATTATCCTAAGTATACATGTTGAAAACTGATTATGTAGGTATTAGAACCAATGTAATGGTGAACCAATTAGCTATTGTAGTATGACTCTGTTAGTTTACCTTAAGTCGACCGAGGAGTATAAAATCAATATAATGGTGAACCAATTGAGGAGCAGACATTGCAAAAGGCAAACAAGATGTGCCAAAATTAAAATTTTCGATTAGTGTTCAATTCAAAAGTGAGATAAGCAGTACAAAGAAAGAAAGATCAAAATTGCATCATAATCCATATATCTATACATATCTCCATGCTCCAACACCAATACGCCAAAACAATTCAAGCCCATTTGCATTGTTATTTAACTTGTATTTAATGCGAAGGCTTTTCTTTTAAGTTTTTGGATTTGCAATTTCAGCATGATGAAAGAAAGTAGAGTAGAAAAGCATATTTATTTGTTAGCCTTGCCCATACTCATCCCAATTGTTTTGATGTGCCAAATAAGTCTTTGTTTTAGTATTAACTTATCGTAGTCAGCTACCGTCGGGCTGAAGGCTGCGCTTTTTGCACAGCCTTGCCATGTCTGTGGCGGTACCAAAGTACTGTTACACGGTAGCGAGCGACCGTGTGACTGAAGGCTACATTTTTTACCCAGGCTTGCCGTGCCTGTGGCGGTACCAAAGTACCGTTACAGAGTACCAAGGTAACGTCTGACCGTTGAAGCCCAAATTTCAAATTTTAATCTACTTTGACCAACCCTAATCACTTCCAAATGGTCATTAACGTTATGATCTCGATCCTTTTATTCTTAAACACTATAAATACCTCTCCTAAGCCTCTCTAAACATATTTCGAACAAGCAAAGAAAAAGAGAGAAGCATGTTTCTATCAAATACTTCATTGAAATTCAACATAGAAACTATCAAAAGAAATTATACAATTTATTTTAAATCCATGATTTCAAACCTACATGCGATTAAGCATTGAATTGAAGTTTGAATCAAATAATATGTCTAATCCTAATCCAAAACAGGTTATCAAAAAATTCATCCATAAAAAATATACCTAAATTCTACCAGTTAAAACATGGAGAAACTTAAATGGAAAAAGGAAGAAGGTTAACAAAATAGAGGGAGAGATTATTAAGGAGAGATACCTGATCTAGTTTAGGCTCAGTTTTTGGAGGTCTTCCTCTCTTCCTCCGCCGTGAATATTGATAATCTTATTTGTATAAATTTTACTAAAATGGTTCTTTCTAATAAAGTATTTTGCCAAATTAATTCTCAATATAAAATAATTACATGTGATCTGTTATAGTTTATATTTATTTCCTAAATGATCCTTTATAAGGAAATGTCTATCAAATGCCAATCAAATAGAAAGTATTTTGATATTTTTCATCCTCTAGACTTTAATTATGTTCTCGAAATACTCCTTTATAATCAACTATTTTTCCAAATTGATAATTTCTAAGTAAATGTTTTCTCAAAATGGAGTCCATGAGCTTACTCGGGGGTCTGTTCCTTTAGCAATCACCCACTTATTTTGAAAGGAGTATTTTGAGGACTTATTTGTAATTTAAATGATGTAAAACACCAAAATACTTTCCATTTAATTGTCATATAATAAGCAATTTTGACAGAAGACTATTTAGAGAATATATCTCAAATATAAAGGAACACGTTGGTAATTAATTAATTATTATCTTTTGAAGACGGGGCTGTTTGGCAACTTCTGAATAGGTAAGTGCTGAACCAGTAAGAGGTCTGAACCATTAAG